TTTCTTTTTTTTTTTTTTCCCCCAAATTGTTCTCGGTTTTCTTTCGACCGCGCAGCTGTGGTTGTACCGTTCCGTTGCCCTCCCTCCCCGCCGCGGGAGATATTTATTTATTTATTTATGTGCAGAGAAACGACGATGGCGATGATAATGATGATGATGATGATGATGATGATGACAATAAAATGCTCGTTGGTGGTTTATTTCCCTCCCCTCCCGTAGAAAGCAACCGCTCGGTGGCCGCGGAGGTGCGCCGGCAGCACCGTCTCTCTCCATCCCCCTCTTTCTCTTACCGGGACTCGCCCGCCCCGGCCAGGGCTGGACGGCGGGGACTCCTTCTTGCTCTGAAGGTACGGGGGACCCTTGTCCGGGGGCTCTCAGTCCTCCCCCCGAAGCTAAAGGTGGGGTTGGGGTCGGCTCGGCTTCCCACCTTCCCAGCCCGTTCCTAAGTTTGCTGGAGAGAAATACCCCTTTTGCACACACCTTTACGCACGGCTATAGGTGAATACAAATACCGGGCTGGCGGCTGGGCTCGGCTTCTCTCTCCGGGTACCCGCCGCTGCTACCGGGGAAGGATGGAGCCAGCCTCCCGCTAACCCACCGGTACCGGTACCGGTGCCGTGCTGGGGCTCCCGCCTGCCCCGCCACCGGCCTCCGGCAGCCCCGCTCCGGCCTCGCGTTTTGACCGTCGGGGAACCTGACAGCTCGTTTTTACACTCAGCTCCTCGGTGGAAAGCCCCGGCGGAAAAGCAACCGGCATGTCCCGCAACCCCCCCGGGGGTGCCGGACCGGTATCTGCCCCCCCCGAAGGTGCGGGACCGCCGGGGCTCCGCGTTCCCACCGCCGCTCCGTTTGGGGACGGAAAGACCCTTTTGTGCGGGGATCCCCGCTCCCCTCAGGCTCACCCGTGGCCTGCACCGGCCGTCCCGGTCGTCGGTGTCCCGGGTCTTCCCACGGGCCCGGTGGGTTTCGTGCTCTGTGCTTGGGTCCCTGGGCTGCCATCGGTCCCTGCCCGCAGCGGGACGGGACCTGCTTTTCATCCCGGAGTGGGTCCAAAATAACCGAGGCCACCGGGAAAAGCCAGGAGTGGAGATGTCGTCCCTCCCGGGAAATCACCGCGGAGAAGGTCCACACAGCTCCGCACATGGGCTGAGCTGGGTTTGGGGTCCCCCGGGACCGAGCGTGAAGGCAGAGCCAGTAAAATTGCCACTGCCAGGACAGCCTCAAGTCCCGTCCATAAAACAAACGTGTCACACTCTGCCTTTCCCAGGTCCCCGCAGCTCTTTGCATACTTCTGAGGCCCGGAGACCCGCAGGCTCCTGCAGCTCCATCCCATGGGTGAGCGGAGAGCACGGCCCTGCAGACCATGGGGCACTGCAGACTTCTCTGGACTCCTCAGGATGGTGGGGGGCCTGGGGGACCCTGGAGACGTGGCAGTGCAGGACAGGCACAAGGCAGTACCCATGCCCTGCTGTGACTGTCCTGATCTGTGTTCACCTGGCTGGAAGATGCAAGGGCTTGGTGACACTAGGCAGGTGCTGCACTATCAAGTTTGGGACAAAATGTTTGGGCTGCTTCTCTCCTTGGTGGCCTGCCTTCACCCACTGCCTCCTGTGATCCTTAGACCTCTGGCTTCTCCCTCCCTGCTTCCTCCTCTGCTGGCTCCCCACATCACCTGGCTGAGATGGGACGGCCAGGCAAGCTAGTGGTTAGGACACTGTGTGGGCAGCATCTTTCTGATTCCTTTTCCCGTGGCTGTTGGGGACGGACGTGGCAGATGAGGGATCAAAACCTGACCTTGCTGCAACAGTCCATCAGTTTTGCCTGGTGCTTGGCCCTGTGATGTTCCCTGTGTGTCCTTGCCCGGTGGCCCAGTTCCAACAGGAAAGACCCCTCTGGGGACCCTAATTGGCTCAGCAGGACCCTGCAGCCTCTCCAGCCCTCTCCTCCCTTCCTGCTCACATTTACCAGACTTGTTTTGAAAAGTCATTGCAAAATAGAGACAGAAACAGCCTAACACGGGTTTACCAAGGGGTCTGGCACCCTCATTAACAGGGCACTGGCACTGAAGTCAACAAGCATCCGTAGAGGCGTGTATGTGTGTGTGTGAGCTCCTTGTGCCTTTTCAGCGGCGTGGGTTTGAGCCAGTTGGCTGGTGGTGGGATGCGGGGAACACCAGCGCTGGGAATTGGAGTGCTGCTATTGAAGTGCTATTGTGGCAGTTGTGTTGAAACTCTCGATAGCCTTGTCTGCCAGCACATTCCCACCTTGTCTCTGGTCCTTCATGGCACAAGCTCTGATACAAACTAAAATGGACCTCCTCAAGCTCCTGTTTTGGGACTGAGCAGAGGCAGCCAGGGACAGTTTTTCACCCTTGTGATGAGGATGATGAAGCAGCGGCACTGCCCACCCAGCTTGCTCCTCACTCGCCGTGAAACCTGGGCGACAGCATGCAGGCGTCTGGGGGACAAACATGTTTTGTCCTGTTCCTTCTAGGGAGCAGCTAGGAGACTTTCTGGGTGTGCGGTTGCAAGTTCACTAGCGCATCCTCGGTGCAGGCACAGCGGCCGTGGGCTGCGAGGAAGAATCTTGCAGTGATGCTGTCCCAGTGGGTGCACACATTACAGAGAGTGTGTGCACACATGTGCCTGTATCCTTTATGGAGTGAGTTCATCAGCCAGACAATTTAGGACTAATCCTCAGCCCTAAAAGGTACCTCATATATGTAAAGTAGCAAAGAGAATTCCCTCGTATGGTATAATTTTGTCTGAACAGCAGTAGATTATCAGAATGGATGCCCCCAACAAGACAGTATTAATATTCTCCGATACACGCTGGCCTCTGCTGCAGACCCTGTGTACCTTGCAAAGCCCAGTGGGGCTCTCAGTGCACTTGACAGTCATTATGCCACATCCACATGCAGAGATAATCCCTCCTTAGTTGGGCATTTTTCTAATTTAGTGAGAAATCATTACGGCAAATGCTCAGAGTGTCATTTTCAAGGACTCTGAGGTTGGGCAAATTAAAGTCATTTTGCTGTGGGAAGAGCGTGGGCACCTCTGCTAAAGCGAATGTCATAACACACCAATTTTCAACTTTCTATCCCTAGCCATTTTGACGGCAGGTTTCTGAAAGTTACTCAAGCATTTTAGCATCTAAAATGCCCAGTCTCTCCCTATTGCGACGGGAACCACATTTGCAAATCCACAAAGAGAGTTTGAGTATTTTCTAGCATATACTTTTTTGACCATATTTCTATCTACAAGTTGAATTATTTCTGCCCTAGCATGCAAAGAGGAGACGTTTTGGATGCTTTTGAGGCTTTAAAGACTGTGTCCCAGAGCAAAGCTGGCTATCCTGGCAGGGGAAGGAGGGCAGAGGATGATGCTGGTGTTCAGGGCTCCCTTTTCCACCCATTGGCATTGCTGAGTGTGGGTGTCCCACACCCCATCCCGTCACACACGCAGCCGCTCTCCTTTCACTAGTCCAGGCACAAAATGTGAACGTGAGAAATGATGAATACCTGGAAGAAACAAAGGTTTGGGTTGAAGAATCTTTTCAACACTAAATACCTGTGTACTTACAGCTATCGTAATATTGATTTGTATTACTTGGCTTTTATATTTATGTCATTGTGATTTTTATCCCTAGACCTCATTTCATTCCACCCAAAGGCTGCATCAAATAGATTTACAGTTAAGAGCATGTGTTGGTGTTTTAAGTGTTGTTGCTCTTAACCACAAAGCTAATATTTTTAACCCAGGAATTTCATAATTCAGTTTATCTGCAGTTAACATATTTACACAGTGTCAGCTCTGAGCTGGCCCCGTGGATCTGGAATAGTGTTTGGAGTAAACAAGCCATTTCTGCTTCCAAATAGCATTACGTCAGGGGTAGCTGGGTGTTTCTTTCACTCTTGTTTACTTGGAATGAATCTTACCTATGAATTTATTGGGATAACAAGGCTTCATTTTTAATCCTTAAATTCCTGAGAGAGGCTATGAAATTTGATTCTGTAATGACAATATCATTTTGTCTGTGAATGTCATTACTTTAAAACATAGGTGGGTGTTAACTAAAGACCCTAAATAAAATGTTTTTGTATGATATTCATAATGATTTGAAGACAGATACATCAACAGTAGCTATCTCTCAATTACATTAATTTTGAAAGTGTTTTTCCTATGAACACAAAGTACTCACTTATCAGGATGTAATTATGCAAGATCAGGAGATCTCCTAGGATACTGACACTGATGATGACAGCAAATGGCTGGGCCTGTTGCTTAATGTGGCTGTAGCCAGACAGGAGTGACTGCCTGGTGCTGACAGCTAACTACTCTGGAAATAGCCTATATGCCCTATATACTATATAACCCATATATACTCTAGTATATATAAATTAAAAAAAAAAAACAACCAAAATGACCCCCCCCCCAAAAAACCCAACAAAAAACCCAAACCAAAACAAAACCCCAAACCAAAAAACCTAAAAGAAGTAGTAGCAATGATCATGAACAGAGAAAAAAAAAAATCTTCATTCTTAAGTTTGCTATATGCCCTTTCTCATTGCACTGCAACTTTCTCAGATTTCCCTTTTCTCTCTTGATATTTTCTGTTAGGCTTGTTCCCAACAAAGGACATATAGAAAAGAGGAGATTTTAATCAAATATTTATTAACAGTCTATATAGACCAAATTGGAAAAAAACATCAAGAGAAATCTCAGAATGGACCCAAAATGTGCCTCGGAGAGAGTCACTCCTGTCAGACCCGTGTCTATTCTCTTCCTCAGCCTCAGCTTTCCAATTACTAAAAATATCAGCATCAATCACAGACTATGAATACATTATTTTAGGCACTTTGCAGCCAGATGGGTAGTGGCTCCCAGGCTTAAACATAGGTGTGTACTCATATTTTAGATCTTGGGTGGGAGTATCTGGTCTGGAGTGGCTTCCAGGTGCTGCTCAAGAAAGAGCTAGGTCTGCTGCAGGCAGGTCCTTTCTGCCAGTCTGGTGAGGGTGTCAGATACCCTAACACATCTAAAAGAGCGCTAGGCACACATCCAGGCACCTGAAAGGGTTCTTGACAGGAGAATTTGCACCTGAAGCACAAGGAGAGTGGACAGATACAGCCAGATTGCTGGAGAGAATACATGGTAGCAGTGGCTGCCAGTGCATATACATCTGGATGTAGCTTGATTTAAAAAGATTTAAATATCCTGTGTGGAGGGCTAACTGCCTCCACTTGACTGATCTTGGCCTGGGTAGGCTACAAAACTGTGCGGTGTCTTGGACCACAACTGATTTTTTTGAGAAATCCCTTTCCAGCTAATGATCAGGTAAATACCAAAGAATACCAGATGATCCATACAGACCTGAAAGACCTGCATATGGGTGTTTGGGTGGTTTCTAGTGCGCAAGGCAGAGCAGAAGAATTAAGCAGAGAACATAGTATGGTAAAACGTATGTTTGCATGTTGTTTGGGTTTTCTTTGAAGTCATATTCTTTTTGCACTTAGCATGATATCAACGCAGAGGAAATAACTGGAATCAGTAACTCTGGGGAGGAAATGTCTCCACAAGCCAGGTGGTGCAAAGGAGGTACAGGGACTGAATTAGGCAGAGAGGCTGTTACCTGAAGAGTGACATAAATACATACTTGGGAGCCATCTCATTCACTCTGCTCTCTGAGCTTCGCGCTAGACCAGACTCTTTCAGACCAGAGCTGTCTCTTTACTGGTGTCCACGTCTTGCTGTCTGTGCTGAGGGAGGTAGAGTATCAGAAGGGCTCCTCACCTCCAAGGGTTGCTAAACAGAGTGACGACTGGGATGATGAGGACTCAGAAGATGATGGGCGCGTGGCTGATCTGGTAAGGGTGTCCCGGACCTGTTCCAAGATTGTGCTGGAGCAATTAACTCTGTCGTTTTGTTGACTTGGGTCCGCTCCGCTCCATGCTCACAAAAGCCTGCCTTGCTTGAAGGGGGGACACAACACACCATCCGATCATGCTGCTTCACTACAGAGCAATATTCCAATTGGATTCTGTGCTGGTGCCTGCAGGTATTCAATTTTCAGTGCTGGAAAAGCCACCCAGGTTTGTTATGGATGTTACATACGCAAGTGAGGAGATGAGTTTTCAATGAAGAGTGTGAATAGCCGTGTAGATAACCATGGGCAGCATCTGGAGAGGGCAGATATCTCACTAGAGATTTCACCTTCGGTGTTTACCACTGTTTTTTCCTTGTGTAGTTTATCAGCTAAAATAATCATGTTATAAATTGGGCTTGGAACGACTGGATTTAAGTTGTGCAGCACATCTTTTTTTTCTTTCAAAACTCTATTAGTAACTCTCCTTTTGGTTATTTGTTTAGCCTTCAATGTGCTATTGCAGCACAGCACACTGCCCTTGTTTGAATTTTATCTTAGCTATAGTTCTTCTATGGCTTGCAGGTTTCTCTACTTGGATGGGAAGGAGACAAGGCAGCAATGCCCCCCCTCCCCGAAATAATGGATCAGTATGTTGTCCACATCTGCTTCAGACGGATTTTGGCTGTTTATTATTTTAGGTGTTGGTGACAAAAACGCTCTAACAGCTGCATTGAGTCCTCAGGCAGGAGGCACACTGAAATTCTGTAGCTGAGAGTCTTCTCACTACTTAAAGCTGAGAAAGAAAAATAATCCTACATCAGATATGCCTATTTTATTGGAGAGGTGGCTTTCCAGCTCATCCTTGGCATGAATTGCTGCCTGCCTGCTTGATGTGTGCTGATCTGGAGGTAATGTTAGAGCCTGGAGGTAGCCACAGAGATGCCTGATCTGTAAAGGCTGTCCTGCTGAGCAAGCAGTCCACATCTGATGTGGATTGTCTCCTGAGTCTACTCTTGTGATCTCACTATGAGCCATATATGCAGAATCATTTATTATAGCAGACACAGAAATGTTAACATGCCTTACCATAAATTCTTTCCTCCCAAGAAAAACAGCTTTGACCTCCAAGTCGACCAGAGTCTCAGAGGTTCACAGGATCCGCAAATCCACAAAAGATATTTATCTTCCATGCTGCCATGGCAAACCTGAATTTTCTTAAGTGCCTGAGCTGGGAGGACACCACACTGTACTAAGGGGTAAGTAAGTGATAGCTGATGATGTTGGAAACTGCTGTCCTTAGTTCCTGGGCATCAAGATGCTCTCTTGAGCGTGAGCAGCCCCCAGCCTAGCTCTGCTACAGGCATGGAGGGAAGACAAGGCAGCTGGAGAGTTGCCATCATCAAACCGGCTGGACCTCATGCCTTCTACCTAGGTGCCCGTGACTGCAGTGAAATGGTCCTGACCATGTCTGTGGCCTGTCTGAGTCCTACCCTGGCCCCATGCAGAGCCGATTTAATCCCTCCCGACCCAGATCCCAGCTGCTCCAGCACCCCCAAAAGCCTGCTCTGCTCCTGGACATCTGCTTAGCATCACCTCCAGGGCTTTCAGCCTCCCCTCCCCGCACTGACTGGTGACATCCCCACCTCCCTGGCTGACCCCAGCTCCAGCTTTGCATGCTCTTGGACGTTTTTTATTTTTCTTTCCTGTATTTCAGTCAATCACCTGCTTAAAGATAAGCACATGCTTAAATACTTTGCCAGAACAAGCCCTAGATTTTCTTAGGTTGTTTTCCACCCTCTGTTTGATAACTGATCCCCTCCCCATTTCCCCAGAACATATGTGGGACATATATCCAGCTCTTACGTTTAATTTTACACGCAGTTTAGGTTACACTTTGCATGAAACATGCTACCAAAAGCGAAGCTCTCTTCTCCTTTCTCTTCCTTTCTTTCTCTTTAGTTAAGCATACGTGTAAAGAAACCTTTCAATGTGCTTGCAGAGCCCAAATACAGTAGAGTGACACAAAGCATTCTGGATATTGCTATGCAAATGACATGCCAAGAATGTTTAGACTGTACCTTGAAGCAGTAAACAAGTTGATTGTCATGGTGTCATGGTAACTAGAGCTGGATCCGCTTCATACGAATGAGGTCTCAACCTTCGTTTTTATTTGGATTGCTAAAGCAACCCCGTGGTCCAAAGCTCATCACCCCGTTGGTGCTCTGGAGAGCCAGAGGTACAAGAAATGGCCTCATATACTGGGACACCATTTAAAGTGAAACAATGAGCTACTCTTGACACACAACTTCAGGTCACCAAGGGTATTCAGACATACACAGACCTGAGTTGGGAGATGCTGCCGATGCCACAGGGATTTGCCACGTGCCCTGGGCAGCATTGCTGTCCCACTGGTGTAGTTACAATCTGTAGAGATGATATTTGCGGGTGATGAAGCTTGTGTTTTTAAACCGATGAACTGCTGCCATCTTACAAAAGGATGGAAGTGTGGACGCTGGAGAAGGCAGTAGGGCTTTTCTGTGAGCAGAATGTCTATGTGGGTCTGTAGGATCAAGACAGACTGCTGGCCAGTAGCTTGTATTGTCCACTCGATACATGCTTTTCCCTGGTTTTGACTCAGCCATCCTTCCCCGAGTAGCAGGGAAGCTCTCTAACACTGCAGGAGAATCACACTGGTAACTTAGAGATTACAGAGTCATTTTCCTAACCTTGTAACTCAGGGCTGAACTGCTCCAGGCTCTGATGAACCACCTCGTTTACCAAAGTAAATGCACTCCTGGCAATTTTTCATCCAAGCTGAGCCACCACAGGCTTGGCTCCAAACCTCATCTTCTGCCTCTGCAAACAGAAGATGCTTTCACCGACTGAACCAGCAACACAGCAACACTGTCCTGCTCTACAAAATAAACTTGCTAGAGTCTCCTAGATGGCTGTGGCAACATAAGCTTGAGACTAAAAAGTCTCCTTACACTGAACAGTCAAAACCCACCTTTTTCTGAAGAGCCATGTGCCCACTGGTAAGTGCCAGTTGATCTCAGAGCATTGATTTGGTGGAGGAATTTGCCCTTTTTGCACTATTTGTCACTGCAGATCTGGGCTTTAAGGGGGATCACAGAGCTGCTGAGCCAGCCTGGTACAAATCACAGGGACTGACACAGGACTTCACTTGCTGTCTCTCTCTGTCGGTTCTTCAAACCCACACTGTCTCCAAACAGCAGAAGCAGAAGAGAAACTATACTGGGTCAAGCCAAAGGTCCATCCTGACTCTGGCAGTGGACAAACGCAGAGGTCTAGGGACGACTGCAGGAACAAGTCTCATGTACATGATATTTCCCACAGCTTCTGTTTGCAGCTCAGGTAACTCCTGAGGTTTTCTAAGAAACCTCAATGAAAATGTCATCCATGACTGTGTCCTGTATACTGGAACCCATGTAACCTTTTGGCACCTTTCAGCACCCACGAACTTTCCAGTCTACATGGTTTTGACAGAGACTCACTGGGTCAATAACAGGATGGGAATTCTCCCACCAGCTGTACGACATACTTTCTGGTCAGACTAGCACCTAGTAGGACAAAATGACACAGTGTACAAAGGTGAACTGGATGCTTCTTGTGCTGGAGGGTTTCTTTTAACTGTCTGGAAATGCTCTGTTATGATTCCTAGCAGATTCAAAGAGATAAGCAGCCAGCTAGGCTGGAAAATTCCACTGAGCAGCCCATAAATTCATGACTTGTCTGTCCTTTAAATGTCTAGAGTCACACTGACTCTTACCATGGCTTTGCAGGCACTTGTGGCTGGGAGTGGTTGGTGAGGTCAGGAGCTCAAAGTCTAGAATCAGCTGGAGAGCATCAAAGACGAATCTCTCAAAGTAAGATAAAACGGCAAAGAACCAAGCCCAAAATAGCTGGCTAAAATATGTGTTTCCTTTACTGCTCACTTGTCCAGGAGGTGTTCAGAAGCAGTGGGGACAAGTGGACGTCCCCTCCTGAGTTGCTGACCATGGCCACGGCACTGCCTGGCAGAGCGCACAGCAAAAGCCACCAGCACAGGGGCAGCCTCCACCCATCTGGGAGGGAAGTGACTGGTTTAATCTGTGTTGGAAGGTACTTAAAAAAGAACCTTTCAAAGCACAGCGCGCAGAAGGAGAACCCTTGGTACGCCAAGAAGTGCGTGAGTTCTGCGACGGTGCACCAAACCTGTCTCACGTTGCCCAAGGCCTTGCCTTCTGTGCGTTGGGCTCTTCTCTGTGCTTGTGTTGGCTTGAGATGCTCCATCCCACAGTCCCGTTCCATCTCTTGTTCCCTGAGGTGACCTGCAATGACCTGTTTGAACCACTCACATGCAGCTCCCTAACTCCCTGGGGATTTATTGCTCACTGAACTAACTCCCTTAGCTGCAGCACTTAAATAACTCAGTTAAGGAAATCAGAGGCAGTGGCACTGAAGAGCCGCTGGGACAGGGTGTGGAGGTGAAGCATCTTCAGCTGGATGCAAAAGTGGGGACTGAGCATATTCCTGTCGTGGTTTAACCCCAGCCAGCAACTAAGCACCACGCAGCCGCTCACTCACTCCGCCCCATCCAGTGGGATGGGGGAGAAAATCAGGAAAAGAAGTAAAACTCCTGGGTTGAGATAAGAACGATTTAATAGAACAGAAAAGAAGAAACTAATAATGATAATGATAACACTAATAAAATGACAACAGTAGTAATAAAAGGATTGAAATGTACAAATGATGCGCAGGGCAATTGCTCACCACCCGCCGACCGACACCCCACCAGTCCCCGAGCGGCGATTCCCTGCCCCCCCACTTCCCAGTTCCTAAACTAGATGGGACGTCCCATGGTATGGAATACACTGTTGGCCAGTTTGGGTCAGGTGCCCTGGCTGGGCATGAGAAGCTGAAAAATCCTTGACTATAGTCTAAACACTACTGAGCAACAACTGAAAACATCAGTGTTATCAACATTCTTCACATACTGAA